TTGGCTAGGCCCCCTTAAGCCTCATAAGAGATAACAACAGCTCCAAGTTGGACTGTAACTAAAACCATCTGGTCCAATAAGCCCCAATGATATGGATGACCAGAACACTCTGACACTCACTGCTAACTCTTCCAGGAATGCTTTGCTCTTCTTTATGCTAACAGTTACAGATAAACTAAAGTTAATGATGCCAGTGTGTGTATCTTTGTTATGTGCCTTGCTTTTCTATTAGATCAATATTAGTTAAGAAATTGCACTCATAACTCCATAGGTTGATTTTAGGTTGACCGGGGTAATCCGCAACATGACTTTACTGTATTAAAAATAACCCCTAGACACAGCACCTTAGCAACAACCCACTTTCAGGCCCCCTCCTGCTGTCAGGAGCTCATCTCTTTAATAAAATTCTTCCTAAATTGCCTTTCCCATCCTTGGCTCCATTCTTTGGTGACATGAGACATTAACTTGGCACATTTAACAGGTTGGGATACACTTTAACGTTTACAACTTAGTACTCATCAAACCAAAAGGCAGACATAACTGAAATGTCCATTAATTGATGAACAACTAAAAGTGTAAGCTTTCCATATATTATTCATTCACAAAAAGAAATAATTTTCTGATAAATGGTAAAATATAAATTAATCTTAGACATGTCATGAAAAGTGTAAAAACAAAGAGTTTTGAGTTATCCAAAATGGCCAGAATATGAAAATTTACAAAATATACAGTACATTAGCAGTTTATAAGGCTCGGGAAAAACAGGAGAAATAAGGAGACACGCTTTCTCTAGAAACTAAAGAAAATATTCTAGGGTGTTGACTGTATATAATTTTAAGTTAATGAATCAAATGTTAAGTAAATTATATTTTTGTAAAACTGGCACAAGAAACAATTCCTAGTTGACAATAAATGTTCAAAGAATTCGGAGAGCTGTTTGCAATGCAACTAATAATAAATGGAGAAAGCCAGAAAAGAGGAAGATAACTGTGAGAGGAAAATGAAAAAAGAAGGTGTATGACAGCATTAAGTGGAAGCAAGGAGGAATAAAAGGTGGGAAAAGAACAGAAAAGGGAAGGGACAGAAAGAGAGGAAAAGGACTAACAAAAAAAGAAAGAAAGAAAACATTGAGTATAGTAGGAAGGGAAAGGGGAAAGGGAAGAGGGTGGATGGATGGAAGAAAAGGTAGAAACACAGAGGCCAATGTGCTTCTATTTACAACATTCCCAGCCTCAAAACTTCTAGTTGAGACTTTAATGGGGAAAGGCCTTCTTCTTGTTGTCCTTCTTGTCCTTGTCCCTAAGGATAAAATCAACAGGATCGTTGACCTTGTATGTCAGACTGCAGAGGATTTCCTGTAAGATATTTTGGAATTTGGGCTGAAAATACTGACAAAGGAATAGCCAGAGTGCTACACACAGTGAGGTAGCTTACACCATGGAGAAGGCAATCTGCTATGCCTCACCAGAGGGGACCCTGAACATGACACACACAATGAAGGCACAGGAGAAGAAAGAAAATCAAGGCTAAATAGCTTATGAGACCACATCCATGTTGAGTAGGATTTCTTCTCTGTACAGAGCGCTCTCAGGAGGGAAAACAAGGCAGAGAAAATCTTGGATTATTTTAGACTCATACAAGGCAAGTTAGAAAAAATATTACCATCACCATAATTGTCATAACTGAACACAACCCAGGATTAATTCACAAGGTAGACAATGTCAACAGGGGCTAGGCTATTATGCACATTGAAACACCATCAGAAAAATAAGAGAAACAGTGGGCATAGTCTATAATTGTGAGCAAAAATTGAGTGTAACAAAAGGTGAAGAACAAGAACATCTCGAGAACAAGAACAAACAAGTAGTACAGAAGGGGAGGCACAACAGACTGACCACCAATGATGATGGCACTCAGTAAGATGTTAGAGGAGGCAAAAGCAGACAAGAAGTACACAGATGTGTGTAGACTGCACTCACTCCAGGCAGTAACCTGATGAGCAGATTCCTCTGCAATGTGAACAGATTCATCAGCAGATACTGAAGGGTGGGAACTGACTGGAGCTGCCTGTGGAAAAGCCAACAAACAAAGAGGATAACCAGAGACAAGGTTCGATATTTCTCAACAAGCATGGCTGTGGTATTTGCTGAGATACCAGGGTGACCAGAAAAGCCTAGGCCTGTTGGAAAACTTTGAGACAGTTTGGGGGTGGGCAGTCTGGGGTGAGTGGGAGTGTTTGGGGTCAACAGGGCCATCAGGACTCTGAAAGCTGAGAAGTCCTGGGCTCTTGAGGGCCTAGGCTGAGGCTGTCTAAACTGAGAGGGAGAGGTGGGGGGTGCACAACGCACTGACTGAGGGGTGGACAGGAGAGGAAACAGACAAACCAAACTGTCTAAATCCAGGAGGGGCAGAATGAGGTAGTGAAAACCCGAGTCTGGCTGAAAGAGCTAGACTATGAAGCTGAGACCAGCCAAGCCCCAGGGCTCAGAAGGTTAAATGAGCTATGGTCCGTGAACAGAGACTGAGGTCATGGGAACAGGGTGGGTTTCCTCTCTCACAGTTTTAATACTCATTAAAACTATATCAAAGGCCTGGGATTTAGCTCAGTGGCACTGTGCCTGACTAGCAAGTGCAAGATCCTGAGTTTGATCCCTGGTACTGGAAAAACAAACAAACAAAAACTGTATCAATACAGGGCCATGCCTGCCTCATAACAGCAAGGACCTGAGTTCAATTCCCAGTACCGGAAGGAAAAAAAAAAAGCCTGTATCAATACAATGAAGCTACATGAAATGCAATCAGAACACAAATTATAAATAAATAGCTCTTAAACATTTTGATCTCAAGGTCACTGAACATAAAAACTATAGAGAAATATAAAGGTCTGTTTAAGGACCAGTTTTTTTGCCTATTATAAATGTAAATAGAAACAAAAAGTTACTGATAGAATTAAAAATGCAAGAATATTCCCTATGTTTTAAATAGTGAACATTTTAGAGAAGAAACCGCATTTTCAAAAATCAATTTAATTAGAAGATAGAAGCTGTTTAAAATTTTCGCCAAAAGAGTATTTCTAAGGCTGGGGATTTAGCTCAGTGGTGCTGCCTGCCTCGTAATCACAAGGTCCCCAGTTTGATCCGTGGTACAAACACCAACACCAACACCAACACCAACACAAAAATCCCCACAGCATTTCTAAAATCTGTCTTCAGCCAGCTAGATGTCCCAATCTGCTTCCTCACTCAGTCTGCACTGTAGTTTTATTGAAGAAAATGCCTCCTCCCATATCACTGTAAAGCAAGGAAGTTAATGATGCATAGAGATGATCTCACACTAAACAACTGTACAACCAACTCTAAAAATTATTGTGAACTATATAAAAAAATCCTTAAAAGTGTGCCGCATCTCTAAAGAGAAAAATCATTCATACAAATAAAATTGGAGATGATCTGAATATCAGAATAATTTACAAACTTAGATTTGATGATGCAACATGCTATGAATTCTTTAAATATATGCTCAATAAAACTATATTTATTTACCAATAAAAAACTATAATATATCTATTAGGATTCCTTCTGAAAACCAAAAGACCCTGTTACGTTTTTCAAAAAAGAGCTATCCTTTCTCATTTTTTGGAACATGCTATATGGATATGGTCACTTAAGCCTGTAACTCAAGACAATGTGTAGACACACTAAGGGTATGAGTACTACAAAGAAATACATTTGCTGTAAACCGACTGATAGTCTCTGCAGTTTACAACCATCATAAAAAATGTACATGAAGCTATAGGGTGTAATCCAGTAGTGACGAGGAGGAGCACAAGAGTGGAAAAAAATATGAACCTTAAACTGGGCTGTCAAGCACAGCACTAGTGATATTTGGGGCCAATATTTCCTTCTATTAAAAGCTGTCCTGGGCCGGGGATTTAGCTCAGCAGTTTTTGCTGCCTGCCTTGCAGGTGCAAGGTCCTGAGTTCAATGCCTGGTATGGGGGTGGGGGTGGAGAGCTGTCCTATATTTTATATGAAACGCATCAACATCTTTGACCTCCACCAACAAAATGGTATAAATCTTGCCTAGACTCTATGTCATGACTGCAACAAAAAAAGCTGACACCAATATGTGCTAGGACACGCGCAATCACCAATGGCTACCCCCCCCGCCCCGACTTACTAGGTAAACATATAAGCTTATGAATGATAAGGTATTCAGGGAGCTGCCACATCTTACTATGCATGACAAATACAATCAGAGTGATTCTACCTAACAAAGTACACTGTGTCTACTTGCACACTCTGTCCTTGTCCTCACCACCTGTACTACATTTCAGATGTCACTGATGTAACCCAAATAATTAAGGTTGTTATTTTATTTTTTGTATTGTTATGCAATCCAAGAGACATTCACTGCATGCTTGGCAAGTACTCCACCACTGAGTCACATCATCAGCAACGTTAAAACTTTTTTTGGATGCCCATGGCCCTTTCAAAAACCTATCATAAGCCTGGCAATGTGGGGTCACATGGGAAACTTATGAACTACTAAATATAAAGAGGCCGAGGTCTGAGAAAATGAGCTGTGGTATGAGACTTACATCGCAGGTATTTATAAACTTCAGATCTACCAGGTCAGCTGATGGGAGGAATGAGACCAGGGATCTAGTTCAGCACAACTGCACTCAGCTCCAACTCACACCTTCCGAAGCAGGGTCTTCCCAAAACTCTCTGCTCTTCCCAGATTAGCAGAGGGAGCTGCAGCTGGGGCGGTGGAAGTCCACATTCTAGGTTGGCAGTGTCCCCGTGGGCACAAGGTGCTGGGAATCAGAACTGGCCATACCCCAGCAAAGGGCAAAATGACAAAGAATTATGAAGCACCAAAGAACAGGGGAACTCAGGGGCTAAAGCAAGGAGGTGTATTCTGCCATAGCTGATTCTAGTCACTATATCCAGACCTCACGATTCCATCCCATTCCCAAACCCCGTTCCATAACGTCACCATTGCGTGGCTTGAGGGTCTCCCTGGGTCATTCCCATGCAGCCCTCAGCCAGTGGATGTCCCAGAAGACCGCACAGCCTATTCAGGAGCTCTCGGCAACAAACTCTCGCTCGCTCCGCGGCGCCATGACACAGGAAGTGTCCGCCCACTTCAGCCCACTTGATTGGATAATTCATAAAGCCCGCCCTTTCATCACAGATTGGCTCCGGCAGCATGGCCCGCCCCGAGCCAAGAAAAACAAATCTTTACTTGTATGGGTGGCGCTCAAATGCTCTCTCCCGGTGTTAGGTCTGGTGGGTCTGGGATCTGGGAATCACCAGATTCACCCTCCCCGGGCCTGTTGTTAGAGTGCAAAGCGAAGTACTTTTATTTCAGGTATTGCAGGAAGCAGCAGAGTCACTCCAGGGAAGGAGTGGACGCTCACAGCAGTCAGTGCTGAATCTTGGGCGGCGGTCCTATTTCACAGGGTAGGGGGCCCGTCTCCACCAACGTCGACGCTATGGGTCTTGCTGCTAGGATTTTGGTCTTGTGGGCTGATAGAGGAATTGGGTAGGCAGGGCAACCTGAATTTGGAGGGACAGTTGCCTGCACAAGGGCAGATGTTAAAACCAGACTGTCAGCCTCAAACCAAAAAGCTTGAGAAGTGGTTGCTGCTCACACAAACACAAAGGGTGCTTTTTCTACGCTCAAATAGGGCTCAAATCTTTTAACACTCCTCAGGGGTCCCTTCTGACCCTATATACTAGGTTGTCGACCTCACCTTTCCTGAGGGGTAGTTGCATTTCAGCAGTTTACTCAAGGCTTTTCAGAGCTGCTCATTTTCATAATGGACTTAGTGCACTCTTCCTGAAAATGGGGTCTTAAATTCCCTCGGGTTTCAGGGCGAATGCCTTAAGAAAGAATCAAAACCCAGTCGTCAGTAAACAATAAAGGGAGGACCTTCTGTTTGAGAGGTCAGTATCTGGGAATGAGGCAATAGGCTTCATTGCCAAGATTTTCTCTCTGTCTCTTTCAATCAGCTCTCATTTCACCTGACGTGGTGGTGCATGCCTGCAATCCCAGCACTTGGGAGGCTGAGGCAGGAGGATCGCTGTGAGCTGGAGGCTATCTTGGGCTGCATAGCGAGTTCAAGGCCAGCCTGAACTGCATAGCGAGACCCTGTCTCAAAAAAAAAAAAAAATTCAACTCACTTTATCCAAGAAAATGAATATATATGTTGCCAAAAAGAATTCAATTAGTGTGTATCTGAAGAAATCACGTTTTTTAAATGATAGCAATATTCTGCAAAAGAGTAAACAAAGAAAGGCAAACATTCCATCTCCTTTAGACAAGCTACATACTTCATCCAAGGTCATTAAAAAAAAAAACAACACCCTGAATTCTGAAGATAAACGTATTGACAAGCATGGAGGACATGAAATGGAGGCACACACCTGATCCACTGGGTCACTTCCTGGTGAGGAGATACCGGAGGACTTCAGAGTGAAAGCTCCCCATGCCCTGTCGTCCCACCCTGACACTGAATTCCTAGAAGGAAATATAAGCACTCCTGTGATACTTGTTTACAACTCATTTGGCTTGATAGATGTATAGGATAATAGTAAAGCGTACTTCTTGGAGTGTCTGTGTGACTCATGTTGTGTAAGCCAAGGGACCATATGCGTGTGACCCCTGTCCCCTTCCTCTCAGGCTCTTTCCTTACTCTCTGGTCTTTGCCTACACTATGTTTTCAAGAGTTTTACCTATTTTATCCTTGAGCAGATTAAGTGTTTCTGTATTTATATCTTTGATCCAGCTTGATTTTAGTTTAGTGCATGGTGATAGATATGGGTCTAGGTTTAATTTTGGCACATGGAAAGCCAGTTTTCCTAGCATTTATTAAAGAGGCTATCTTTCTTCCAGTGAAGCTATCTGGCTTCTTTGTCAAAGATAAGGTAGCTGAGTGTGCTTGGAACTGTGCCTGCATCTTCTGTTGTGCCCAAGTCGCGAAGTCCCCAAAGACCACTAAGGAGTCGAGTCTGATGTAAATGCACAAGGAGTTTATTGCAAGCTCGAGCCAGGACCCTCGTATTTCACCGACCAAGAGGATCAGAAACAAAAGCCCCCTCCTACTATCAAAGCATGATTATATAGGGTTGGGTGGCTTGAAATTCTTCCTCTCCTATTAGCACTTATTACTATGACTTACTTCTATTGGATGTTGCTGGGGCACTTGCAACAGAGGGGAGATAATTACAACAAGCTGGGGAGGGGGCTAATTCAGAGAAAGATCAGCGTATCTTTTTCTACAGAAAACATCTTGAGTAGGCACTTTCCATAATGCACATCCTGCGTGGTTAAACAGTTAGGCAATTAAAAATCCCCTCTGTACTTGGCAAAGCATGCGGTTTCTCTTGTTCAACTTATCTCTAACTTATCCTATTTTGCAAACTTAAGCAACTATTGGGGAGGAGGTAGATTGAACAAAGGAACAAAAGATCAGGAAGGTTTATATACAAAATGGAGTTTCTTTTGTTCTCCTCTCAGAAAACCCAGCTTCTACATTCTGGGCAAAGGGCCAAGAAGGAACCCACCTTGATCTTAAAATTCGGTTCCCACATTCCCCCCTTCTCAAGGACCTCAGGGAACCAATCATGGGAATTAGGGCGTTGTCCTCGTTAAGCTGCTTCCTGCTCAAAGGGGGCATTGCAAGACCTAAAACTAAAGAAGGGGTCCCCTTGGTCTTCGAGATTTCCGAGGCCAGGGTTTAACCAGAGTTTGGTTCCATTTATGTCAATAATAATTTTGTTGTGCGTCAAGGTCTTCTTCTACTTTACACCTGGCGCTCTTCAGGAGTTCCCGCAGAGCCAATTCTTTGAGGGATCTAGGAGTGGTAAGAGGAACATACCTATTAGATGGACAGCATTTCCAATGCTCGTCAGCTCTTAAATACTTTGGTCTTATGTCCCGCGAGAAGTCTTTGTAAAGACTTAGAACTCTTGGACCTAAGGGACATAACTGTAATGATTCTAGGAATATTATAATCCAATAGAATTGATAGGGGTCATTTTGATAGGCAACAGAGTCATGATAGGGATGAGAATCAAATAAATGTCGATGCTGCATCTTTGGGCGCACTGGGACGGTGGGAAAATGACAGAATAGATGTACCAAGTAATCTATGGCTAAGATAAGGGGAAATCAATGATGGTAGATTCCCCCTATCATCCAATCAGGTTCATCCATATTTATTGTGAAATTCATCACCATTCTATGTTTTGGACAATATCCAGATAACAATGCCATATCTTTTACACGGTTGAAGTACCAACTGCTGAATATTGCACTTGAGTGGCACAATAAAAGCAAAACTTTTTAGGATACAGGATCAGAAGCCATTCCATTGTAGTTGAGGAGATCCAATTTTTTCCAATGGTTTCGAAGAATTGCGTGTTTAAAGTACTTGGGGTCAAAGCATATCCTGGCCTTAAAGAGAGAGAGAGAGAAAATTAATTAGGAAAGGAATATTATAATTCTTCTTGGATGCCAGAGATTTCTTCATTTTCAGGAGGAGGCTGATATTGCTGTCTTAATATCATCAGTTGCACAGAAGTTATTCTTTCCTTTTTTTCTTTTTTCTAGTCCCTCACAGACCTTTGCCATAGAATCTTTGATTACCCCAGAGTGGTCGACATAATAACAACATTCTTGTCCTAGGGCAGCACAGACCCCCCTTGTTGTTGAAACACCAGGTCCATACCTCTCTTGAGCTGTAAAGTCACTTCTGCAAGACAGCTTAAGGATTATTGAAGTTTTGTTATAGACAATTCAATTCTTTCAATATCCTCATCAATCACCATTCTGAGCTGGTTATATTGATGTTGTTGTATGGCTATGGCGGCAACCCCAGTTCCTGCCCCTATAAGCCCCATCCCTAATAATACAGTTAAGGTTATGGCGGAGACTGGTTCCCTTTTTTCTCTATAATTTTTGTATTCCCAACGATCTAGAAAGTTTTCATAATCATGATAAATTATTCGGGGCATCAGATGTACTAGGACACAATAATCACTGGTCTGATTCAGAAATTTCCCATGCACACAAGGAGTTAACCCTGTAGAGCAGGCCCACTATCCATTATCAAGGGGGGACATAGTAAGAGGTGTTGTTGATAGAATGAGTTTGATTACAGAGATGTTGGTGGGAGCTTGGTATGTTGCCCAAGCAGGTGCCTGTTCCAATTACTGACATCAGTGTGAGTTGGCCTCTTCTTCCTTGTCCCCATCTACACTGGGTGTGGCTATCAGACACATTAAAATCTCCTACAAAGGCTATTCCTTCATAATAAGGGGGCATAATATCATAACATAGCCAACATTTTTGAGTGATATTAGGTTGGGTCTTATTAAGCATGTTGAAGGCTTCTTCCATTACATCTAAGAGTGGCTTGTGTGGCCCCTCTGGGGTAGGGCCCGGAGTGGTGACTGTCTTCGTGGCATTGGGTTTTTTCGTGGGGGCCCTGGGAAGTGTGGGTCTCTTCTTGAGAGAATGGGTTAGAACCTTATTAGGACCTAGTGTAAGTTGAGATTTTGGTTGTTCTACTGATTGCCTTATATTGAAGAGGAGCCCCTGATCATAACCAGTTTGATACAGCCTTAGGCCCCAATATTGGCCAAATGCCCATTGACTAAACTGTTTCCCCTTCTCTGTGAATGTCACTTTAACTGGATTAGGGTAATATCCTGATTTGGTTAATTGGCCATCTGAAGGCTGCCTAGTTATAGTTATCAAATCATCCTTTATAGGGGGAGTCCAAAATTGTTCTGGTTGATTCACAGCCCCAGTTTTTACAATAGAAATATTCAGGCCCTCCACATAGGGTCTGCCAACTCTTATCTCTTTTTCCTCCAGGCCAAACATAGAAGGGCAGATTTTGGGGTTCATCTGGGATAGTCGAAGCACTCGGGGGTTTCCTCCCACATCCCATGAAGATACCTTGTTGTACATCACGTAAATCAAAATAAAGTTCTGGCCACCAGGTCCCTTTCGGGGCTATATGGGAAGTACTGTTGACTTTTTCTCCCAACCCAGGGTTATAGATGATCCAGGTTAGATTGGAAGGCTGATGTGGATTAGACCACGA